GAAGGCTCACTCACAAACCACTACACCAAACTTGATTTTGTAATATATATTCAGTTATACAATATTTATATAAACAATCAACGGTTTTAAAAATTTAAAAAAAAAAATCATTTCAACACTTATTCACACAAAAACTGCAAATAAAAACAGAAACTATAACAAAAATACAATGTAGATATCAATTATGTTAAAGAAACAAAAACAAAAACGAAAACGAAAACAACTACAAAAACAATTGTAATTAAATGAAAACTGCAATGCAGTTTCCAATTTCCAAAATTCCAATTTTGAGTTCCGTTTCTCTTGGGTAGTTCTACTCTTCTCTTGCCCACCCAATTCCTCATTTGGGTAGCCTCTACTCTTCAAATTGGTGAGGTTGAAGGCCAAGGAAAGAACAAAAATCAAATTGTAATTAAATGAAAACTGCAATGCAGTTTCCAGTTTCCAAAAGTCCAATTTTGAGTACCCTTGCTCTTGGGTAGTTCTACTCTTCTCTTGCCCACCCAATTCCTCATCTGGGTAGCCTCTACTCTTCAAATTGGTGAGGTTGAAGGCCAAGGAAAGAGCTAAAATCCAATTGTAATTACCAAAACTGCAATGCAGTTTCTAAAAGTCCAATTTTGAGTTCCCTTGGTCTTGGGTAGTTCTACTCTTCTCTTGCCCACCCAATTCCTCATTTGGGTAGCCTCTACTCTTCAAATTGGTGAGGTTGAAGGCCAAGGAAAGAGCTAAAATCCAATTGTAATTACCAAAACTGCAATGCAGTTTCTAAAAGTCCAATTTTGAGTTCCCTTGGTCTTGGGTAGTTCTACTCTTCTCTTGCCCACCCCATTCCTCATCTGGGTAGCCTCTACTCTTCAAATTGGTGAGGTTGAAGGCCAAGGAAAGAGCTAAAATCCAATTGTAATTACCAAAACTGCAATGCAGTTTCTAAAAGTCCAATTTTGAGTTCCCTTGGTCTTGGGTAGTTCTACTCTTCTCTTGCCCACCCCATTCCTCATCTGGGTAGCCTCTACTCTTCAAATTGGTGAGGTTGAAGGCCAAGGAAAGAGCTAAAATCCAATTGTAATTACCAAAACTGCAATGCAGTTTCTAAAAGTCCAATTTTGAGTTCCCTTGGTCTTGGGTAGTTCTACTCTTCTCCTACCCAACCAATTCCTCATCTAGGTAGCCTCTACTCTTTAAATTGATGAGGTTGAAGGCCAAGGAAAGAGCAAAAATCCAATTGTAATTACCAAAACTGCAATGTAGCTAGCCTACATATCACCATATCTTCCAATTGGCTCACCAATACCCATGAGTCCACACATAGGAAATAGAGTTCCCCCAGGTATGGTCAGAACTACATCAACAAACCTGAAAAAATTCAAGAAGAAATGAACAGGCAATTATGTAAAAACTAGCTTTTTAGTAGTAATTAGTCTAGTTTAAAAGGAAAAGAAAAGGGAAATACAATCAGTAATTTGTGTAATTTAGGATCACTATTTTATACCTACTGTTCCTTTCTAGAGGATTGGCAAACTGGGTAGAGCATCAGTCAGGGATGTTGAGTCACAGGCCAAGAGAAACAGCTATAGGTACACCCCCACAGAAACTAAAAGAATAAGCCTGCATCTTCTCTGTATGGATCATAAAGAGTGTTGAAAAATAGAGGACTTGATGGATTTAACAAGTTCTTTATATGTTGTTCGAGTGCATTGATCTCTTTCCCAGATGGGCCTTTGGCAACCTGCATACAAGATACAGATGTGAACACATACGATTTCAATAATAACAGCAAGAATCACATATAATATTCATAACATATATATCAGACACTTGTTCTCCAAGCACACCTTTTCAAATCCTCCATGATACTCTTCTCTATTCACATTCACGTCCCAAACTAAAAAAGTATTGGTAGCCAATTCAAAGTCAAACATCTTGAGACGCCCTCCATGCACACCCATGCAAGAAAGTATTATGTTGCTGTCAAAATGATGATCCCTCAGATTAATGAGACGACATTTATAATCACCATTGTTGATTATGAAGGGAACCAACTCCAGGAGAAAGTGTACACCACCCATCCAATACAAAACCCAGATCAAACACAATATGCTTAACAATATGC